AACCGCAGCCGGCTTAAAAATACAGCTTAAGAATCTCTTTGCTGCAAAGCGAATCAAAAATAAATATGTTTAGCTGAACCACAGCATTTTCCAATGTAATTTCCATCAAATTAAGCATCACAAATAAATATATTTACATTTATATATATATATCGTTGTGGCTTTGTTGGAGATTAACAAAAATGTTGTTTGCATATCTTTAAGTTTTGTCCAGGGCCATGAGCTACATTTGCTATAACTGCTGCTTGGCTAAGTGTTGCCATTAGAAGTTTTAGTTGTTGAGTTCTTGGCTTGTTTGCAAGTCATTAGAAAGACTTCATTAGCAGCGAAACAAGAAGCTGCATGGTCAGCTCAGCTCAGATAATAGCACAGTGTTTGCTAATGATCTCAGAAAAGGAAATTCACAAAACAGAAATTTAGAAATAAATATTTGCATATTATATATATGCGTGAAACTATAATTGAGATTATGTGAAATCAGAGAAATTGGAACAACTATTTTCTGTAGTTATATAGTCCAACGAAAATATTCAACTCACACATTCTTAATTGCAGTTTTCCAACTAGAAATACGCTGAACAAATCAAATTCGAGCTAATCAGCTTCGATGATAGCCCTAACTCACCTGAGACTTCAAATTTAATACATTTATTATGGTAAAATTTCATATTTCTCAACGCTCAATTATAGGAAGTCCCAGATTAGCGGTAAGGCATCTATATTTATTTTTTGTATTATTAATATTAATTTGATAATATAATTCAAACATTTTGAAAGGCTCTCACATATTTTCAGTAACTAGAAATTCTGATTTCAGCTTTCACATTTTATTTAAATAAATTTGCAGCTCATATTCAAATTTGTGCTTCCGACTTCCATTAGACTTTACATTAAACTAGTTATATGTTTTAGCTCATGATGAGCCTGTTTGATGTATTATAATGTTTACAATGCCCCATGTCAGTAATCACTGTTGGCAACATGACTATAATCATCATCAGCACGAGCATCATCATCATCATCATCATTCTGTTCATGAGCTTGATGATGAGACAGCCCTTGAGGGCGCACTGACGCAGTTGTATAACTTGCACAATTTATGCATGAGAGCAACGCAGAGTTAATCCTGCAAGACGCCACCAACGTGCGTTGCCAGGCCCTCAAATTTGGGGTTAAGCTCTCACTCTTGCTGTCTCACTCGCTCTCGATGCTGTTATTTCAGTGAAAGCACAACAACAGAACGGGCATTGTTATTAACACCGAAATGACTAACAAAAACAATAACAATAACAAAACCCACTGAATGCAAACAGCAGCTGTCTACGAACAAGCCCAAGGATTTCAATTAAATCCATAGGCAAATGTTCAAAGTTCAGTGCAAATGCAAAGGAATTAAATTAATGATGGTTATGTCATGATTATTGTCATGTTGTCTTACTCTCGAAATCAGCTCCCATCTTGGCCAAAAGGCAACGAATTCATCGCGATTTATTGTTTTTGTTCTCTATCGTTTTCTTTTTTTTCACCCCCACCCAGCCGGAGAATACGGAAAATCCGACAAATTTAATGGCGGCACAATGAAAAATCACTGCCGCATATGGCCAGCCAATAACTGACATTATTGACTGTTAATATCCGAGCAGCTCACAGCAATAATGGAGAATGACAGCTGACCAAAGCGCACGCGACATCTGTATACCCTTTAATGTGGGAGCCTCAGTGGGCATGTTGATTAAATCGATTAAATAATAAAATGCAAGAAGAAATACGTAAAATTGAAAAATAAAATTGAACAAAATCCATTAGTATGAAAAACATTTTATTTTAAATAATAATAATAATAATTTAATGTGAATTAATAACGAAAGCTTATATGAGGTTAGTGATATTATTTAAATTATTTAATATCAATAACTATTAATCACTTTTATATATTTATTTATATATAAATAAAAAAAATACAACAAAAATAAAAACAAAACAAAATTAAATGAAAATAAATAAATACATTACAAATCATTATACAAATTTTATTTATTTTTTTTTAAATTTTTTTTTATTATCATTTTTTTTTTTTTTTATTTGCAATATATTAATAAATGAAAAAAAAAAATTAAATACAAAATAATACAAATAAATTCTTTGTAAACTCTTTTCTTAATATATCGATAGCTTAAAAGCTACTATATATCTATATGAATATATTATGAAACAGATTTTATGCAAAAGTGCAAAAATAGTCCTTCTCAATATTTCAGCGTTCATGCTCTCACAAAAACTACGTGAGAATTCCTATAGTATCCGCTTTTGGGTACTGGTCTAAAAGCGTTGCAAATGCAACATTTCAATAACTGAAACGCCAATTAAAATTGTACAATGGGTTCACATTGCTCGGTCAGAAAGTTGGCGGCGGGTCTGAATGTCAGTTAAACGAGCAAATAGTCAAAAATAAACACATACAGACGAAAGGGACATCTGCATCGGTGTTGGAGGCAGACAAGCGCATGTATATATGTGTATATATACATGTATTTATATATATATATATATTTCTCTGAATATGTAAAGTCGGTGGCAGACAGTTACAGCGACATCCTTGCCATGCACATCCTGCCATATCCTGATGCATGGCTGATATGCGCTGGTAATTGGTATTGTTTGCCCGAACGCGTGGCCAACGAGCTACAGCCATAGCCGGACAGACTCTCCCACACACACACACACACACATACTTTTGCACCTTGACGTCAAATGAAAAACCAAAATAATAAAACAAAGTGAACAAAGATTCATGTGAAAGCCAATGTCATGAAAATAGGCCGCAACTGGGGCAACTATAACAAGAGATGGCTAACAGAAGGGAACAATTAATGAGGGAGAAGCAGAGCGAGAGAGAGAGAGAGTGAGCGTGACGGCGCATCAGACAAAAGCCACGTTGCAAATGACGACGAACTTCGCATTTTCTATGTGCATGATCTCATCATTTGCAGCTCTTTCCACTGCACATAAATAATCGGAATTATCAGAATTATTTACTCCTGCCCGTCAGAATGGAACAATCGGTATTGGATGCGGGTCCAACGGAGGCAATCACGAGGCTAGAGTCACTCTCTAAGAAGATGATGATGATGCTGGTGTTGTTGCTGTGAAGCCTCCGGGTATATTTCCCGTAAAACTTATTGGCCTCCACTGATGACGGAGCCATTGCACTAAATGCTTTTCTGATAATAAATGCGTATAACACACACACACACACACACTGTTAAAAGACTCGGTGGTTTGCTGTTACTTTTATGTTAGCTAACAGCTCTGCTCTGACGTTAAATCCCCAGATTATGCTCTGTTATCCCAGCTTGACGGTGCTTAAGACAAATTTCATTAGGGAGCACCATAAACGTGATCAATCATTTAATTTAGACGATTAAAATAACAAAAATTGTTATACACCTATTCCTGTTATGGCACTGTTAACTCGACACGACGCTGTTAACACGATTGCCAGTGGATCATAACTCGCTGTCCGAACTTGTTCAGCCAAAACACAAAATAAAACTTACTACAATTCTTTACCATTATTTTTGGATTCGATGTGAAGAAATTGTCCTTAATACAAATAATTTTAAAGCTCTATATAGCTCGACTTCATTCTAAAATAATATATATTTATAACCTATGAGAGAAGTTGGACTGCTTGTTGTCAAGGGCAATATTAATTCTAATAATTATTTCTTTTAGCTAGGAATATTGCTTACGAGCAACAAGCAGCCCGAATTTCCATTATAAGTCACCGCCAAAAGCAAGTTTATATACTATTTTTTTTGAGAACGCATCTTAAGCAAACTAAAGTTACGCTTGACTCTGGCTACAATATGTACCTGCAGCTTATCCAATATTGAGCGCAGCTCTAACTATCTTCATCTATCTGCTTCAATCTGGCAACGAAAACAAAATCCAACGGAAACTTGGCCACAGCACAACACGTTAACTGGGAAAACCAATTCAACTTTCACGTTCGCATTGTTTGCCCAAGCACGAAAAGTTATTAAGATCCATAGACGTGATTTTGCATGTTTTAAAAAAGTGGAGTAAGAAAAAGGCAACAACAAAGATGCTGATACGCTGTATGGCGTTAAATATGTTTATGCAGATAGATAGATAGATAGATAGATAGATAGTAAAAGCACAATTTCCATTAGTGTTCGTGAAAAGGCCAAATGCCGGAATAAGGAAAAGTTCAGACCGACTATCCCATTGGCATGCCTGACAAGAATTGAATTAAAAGTTTTCTCTCTAAAGGAGCAGCTGGCCAAAAAGACAACAACGTAAAAAAACAAATGGAAAAAAATTAAAAATGCGCCGCTTTTCAATTTTCATTGTGGCCAAAAAGTTTCAGCCACGAAACGCGCATTTAAATTGATTTGTAATTCGTGGTTAATTCAGATGGCGGCCCACACACACCGCACACACATACAGACAGAGCATTGGCCACTCTGCTAGCCTCTACTTCAGACTATTTTCATTCAGTATACGCCGCGTTGGTTTTTCCCTGTTCATGTTATTAACGTAATTTGACACTGAAAGCCCGACAGCTGCGACAAAATGTTCGTTTTTACTCATTTTTTTGTCTTTTGCAAGGTAAATGGGCGCTTAATTGATAATGAGCTACGGCAGCAGGTTGGCACTTTACCTGGCATTGCATATATTAAATATTGTTTTAATTGTTAATCTGTCACAAAATCATAAATATGAAATCCAAAAGAAACAATTGCTATGTGGTTTGTTAAAGTGCGAAAGCCATATAATCACCTCGTCATGGGAGATTAATACGCAAAGAATATTGAAAAAAAAAAAAAGCATCAGCAAGTGTCATTAGAAAGTATAATTGATCTGTCAAAGGGACTCGAGCTGAATTTTTTATGAATGTAAATGGCATAAATTATTAAATCTATATATGACACAAATAATATGGAATAATAAATTATCAAAATTATTTTATTTACCAATTTAGAGATATAAGCTATCCATAAGTCAGCAGTCTGAAATATATAATAAACAAAAAATATTTTAGATGATTTAATTCCAGGCAACAGCCTCCTTATATATAGATCTACTTATATATTACATCTATCTAGTCACCTTTGATCTCAACAATCTAAATATATAAATAAATACAAGTAAATGTAAATATAAGTTGGATACTCTTATAAGATCAATTTGATTGAATTTCAGAGAAACCTAAAAGCGATCGTTCTGCTGAAAATCACATTGAGTTGCAAAACGAGAAGAAGAAGAAGGGCAGCAAGTGCAGGGACACTCTGCACTCAAAATATTTTAGTGAGTATTGCATTAAGAACTGACTGCAGTTATCGGAAAACTACAGAAAATTCACAGTCTATGACGAATCCTACGTCACCCATATAATATAAAGATGGAACTAATAGTTTTCAAACATCGCCTTTATCACCGTTTTATATCCGTCGTTTGAATTGGGTTAATTCAGGTAGATTTGTACTCCATCTTGCTTCGTCGATCTGCTGACCTCGGTCTGCCCCTGGTGGATCAGCCTCAGTCCACTCTACTGTGCTGGTATTTTTGTGTTCGCTCAGTTGAAGCTTGATTTGGCTGAGCTCGTTTCTGTTCACTCATTGACTGTGCCTTGACTACAGATGAGCATGAGAAGCATAAATTTATTGTTAAATGGAATCCAAAAAGGGTTGGTCGGTATGGAAAATTACATGCGATTGCCTTACCACCCAGCTGATCTTTCTATAGGACTAACCCCTCTGAAAGTAATTATATTTCCGCATCCGTATTACTGCTTTCTGTATAACTCATCTACACTGATCTGAGCTTCATATAAAGTGTATATTATTTTCGACTTATGCAAAGCATTATTATTCAATTATTATTTGCCGTATCTGGGTAGCAGCTCAATCTTAATAAACGCAACATAGATAAATCTTTAAAAATGGTTGCATCTTTTGCCCAGAGAAATCGGCAACCGTTTTTGTCCGCTGTTGTTGTTCCCGTTGCTGTTGTTGCTGTTGTTGTCGTTGTTGTTGCTATTGCAGTGAGGCATTTAATTGATTGATTGCCGTTCGTCTATGTCTGCATCGATTCTGACTGCCCAGATGTCACGCCCACCGTAGCCCAACCCTAAGCCACGTTTCATAACCCATGGATTTTTCCCTCTGACTGTTGTTATCAAATCGACTTCATGGACCCACATAACAGCCGCTGTTGTTGTTGTTGATGTTGTTGCTGTTGCTGTTTCTGTTGTTACTGCCAATTAGTGTCGGCGCGTCATGAGTGTGTGTGTGTGTTCGTGTCTGTGTGTCTACAGGTGTGTAGGTGTAGGTGTGTCATCAATTAATTTTTGTATTGTTGTTTTCCTTTTTTTGGCACAAAATGTTGCATTTTCTGTGAGCTCGTGACGTGAGAAAGGGTAGCAGGATTTTAGGGTAACATAGGCCCCACTTTGGTCAGCGTTATGTGGCATATTGCCCGTGCTTCCATAGGTAACCATGTTGACTGATTGGTTTTTCGTTTCAATTGTTTGCTTGCTTTTAGCCAGCTATGTGCTCCACGACTAACTTTTGTTACGGAAAGCTGGCGCATTTATATAACTCTGTATGCAATAGTTGGGCATTCGGGATGTCATGCGAGTGTTATGTCTGCTTGTATGTGTATGGGCCGTTATTAAATCAATTTCATACTTGTCACAAATGTGATTTAGACATTTTGCACACGACTTTGCTTCAATGAACTAATTAAATTGAATTCAATCTTTTTTTCATATACATACGAGGAAGTTAAATTATGTTTTATACCCTGAACACAGTTAAAATTAAAATTCAGGGCATAAGAGCTTTGTTAAAATGCATGTTGCAAGCGGAAGGAGAGGAAGGCAGAGTCCATTAGTGGAAGCTTAAATATATAATATACACAGTACGATCGATGTTTATCGATAGCTTGCGAGCCACTAAAGACGAAAACATTCTTGATGGCTCCCCTTCTCTACCAAGAATAACAGTTGAACAGTTCATAGAAACTCTGCCTCGTTCAGAGCAGCAGACTTCGGTTTTTGTTCGTATTTTTTCTGTTGAGCGTCTTAAGTATTCGTGTGACGCTCTTTGAACGACCGTCGTTTAGGGGGAGATACGATTGAAGTTCATTTCGCTGACGATCTTCACATTCATATCAAAACACAAAAGGCTTTTTAAAAATAAAAATAAAAAAAAAAGTTGCGAGCCGATCGCATATTCGTTGAAGAAGCGATTTAATCGATTGCTCTCTGAGTTTTTTCTCAGAGTGTGAATAAAATAAATTTATTTACAGACGTCAAGAGAAAGTTAGCAGTTATTTGCTGGCTGTGATTTTAGAAGAATACGAATGCATCTATCGCAGAATAGTTTTTCAGCATTAAATATAGAAACTCGAACTTTTTATATTCATTGGTTTCGCTGTACGTTCTTATATATACAGTGAGTAACATTAATATTCGCTTATTATTTTTTATTTTTTTATTTTATAAAACATATAATATTAATTGAAATTAAAGCGGAAAAACCCGAATATTAATATTACTCTCTGTATATACATACATATATAGTTTATCTTATCTTGATTAGAAAATATATATGTAAATACGATCGACTAAAAACACTCTTTATATAGCCAATATAATCGGATTACTAAAAACTGATAAGTTTGAAACAAATATTTCGTAATGTTTCGTAATGAACAAAGAAAATATAGAATATCACCTCTAGTGCAGGGTATTTCCTGGTCAAGCACTTCCGACTAAAACACGCTTACTCTATGAATTACAGTAATAAGTAAACACCAAATTGTCTTACTATCAACTCACTATTTAAACTGAAACTTAGGTGTATATTTATTCAATATCTATCACAGTTTTCGGAAATTGGAACAGCTGAATAAATATAGAAAAAGTGCATAAACATAGGAAACTTTCCGATCTCAATCAGTTGCAGTTACAAGCTTCAGAGTGCAACATGTCTAAGGTACTTGTGATAGCTCTATTGGTATTAGTGCAAGCTATCTGTTTGCTAGCAGGTAAGTACGGATGGACTTGAAAGTTACGAAAAATATTTAAAGTCACTTAATTTATTCATTTAAAGATACATCAAATCTAAGGAAACTCATCAGAGATATCAGAATGAAACTATTTGATCTGATTGAGGATTTACGTAACAGTTAATTGGATTACTGGAATATTATTTGATATATGTATTTATATTTATATGTAGGCAATAATGAAACATTTTAGTTAAATATGAAAAAATGTATAAAATGTTGTAAGTCTTTCATTTATTGTGGATTTACTATTCGCTATTGTGATGCAGTTAGATTATTTATATGTCTAGTCTTATATATTATATAGTTGACCCGATTAGTTGAGAATATTGATAGCCAGCTGAGTCACAATAGTGAAATCGTAAATATTTTTTTCGATTTCACTTCACAATCTTATCGCATAATGTGATAAGCCAGAGCTGAACGGTTGGTTAGGCAATATTGACAAATAAATGTTGACAGTTTCTTAGAATATATTCTAGGCATAGATCTTGGCCAGCACCAGGGCCAAGACAGCGGCCACGATAGTGTAGTGGCTGCGACTCAGTGTGCCAGCTGGACTCTTGTTGCACTTGTTTCCGGAGCAGACATTACAATGCGCCCTCCTCCAGCTGGAATACTCCGGCTTGAGGGATAAGTTACAGACATTCACATCGGGATGAACGCAGCCATGGAGCTGATGCGTCACTGTGTTATCTAAATAAGTGCACAGCGATATTTTGTTGAGCAATTGGTCAAAGAGAACCATCACAGCTACTTACTGTTTCGATACGTGTACTTGAGGGCAAGGCAATCATATCTATTCATAGGTACCCAATGCACGTTCTGATGATAAACGCCCAAGTAATAGCTTGTCTCATTGGCTGCTGCATGGGTGCATGTCGTTGTTTTCGCTTTCTTGCAATCATTTGCGTTTAGGCATGTGTAACACGTCAAGGAGCTAGCTACGATTTTATATAACTTTTATTAGCTAGTGCTGTAAGCCGACTGCCAATTGCCAATCAATTGAACTCACCCAACTGCACACCGGTAATTGCAATTAGCACACTGACAAGAAAGCTTTTCGTCAACATTTTGATACTTTCCTTTTTGCGATGTGCTTTTACGATCTGTTCAGCAGTAAGTGAATTGTTTGCTTTAATGCCTTAACGCTTTATACTCCACCATTAACTCGCACTCAAAATTGGCTTATCTTCATATTGTGAGAGATTGTGCCAGAGCACTCAACTCATTTCTGGCAAATGCTCAAAGCAAAACAATTTCCAGTCGGGTTATGATAACTGCTTAATACTCGCTTAGGGTTCACAGGCAGATAAATAATGCATACATATTATTATACCCTGAACACATTGAAAATGGGAAATCAGAATATAATGGTTTTCTTGAAATGTATGTAACAGGCTGAAGGAGGCGTGACAGACCCCACAAAGTATATATATTCTTGATCAGTGCGACGAGCTGGCCCTGTTCGTCTGTCTGTCCGTCTGTCCGTATGTTTGAACGCGTCGATCTCAGAAGATATAAGAGCTAGCGACTGGAATTTTTTTTCTAGGTCCGTGTATACTACGCGCATATCGAGCTTTTCTTTAAAGATCGATAGCTAGTCTCGATATTTGGTTATGGGTTAAAAACTTTATCGAAAATCAGTAAAAAAATTTTTATCTGCTACATCTTGAAAGCTAGAGTCGCCAAATTTTAAATATGTATATGTTTATATGCATTTTATTCAAACTCGATTTTCGTTAACATTTACCCCCCAAAATTTATCCAACCCCTCACCCACACTTCTGTAAAAGGCGTATTTCAAATACTAGAGACCTGTGCTTTGGCAAATGCATGCATATCCCTGCATATGCATATCATAATCAGAAAGTTTCATTAAAAGTCATTAAGCAATTAAATTTCCATAGCAAGCCCACATTGCTGCCAATGCGTGTTTATGCGTGCCTGTGTATGTGAGTGTGTGCATGTGCAAATAATTATTGAACTATCAGTTGCGCGATTGGTTCAGGGGTCTCGTAGTCGAGCAGTATCGACTAGAGGTTTCTTACTTGTTATTATTATAATATTATATTAGCTATATAATTTATTTTCTAATTGTAGAACTTTGGGATATACATATTTTTTTGGATTTGCCAACAATAGCTCCTACATAGAGCTAGAAGTTTTAAATATAGATTCATGTTTATTTGGTAGACTTTAAATATTTGTCAAAATACACCCCCGTCCCCAAATCCATCTCCAATTATACAGTCTCGATTAGAGCTTGCTTACTTGTCATCGAAACTAAGTGAATTTATTAATCACTTACACTGTTCAACACGAACTCTTGTAGTAAGAGTGGTAGAGACTGCTCGACTGGTGGAAAGAACTAAAATCCATACAAATTATTTGTTGAATAACCATTCTTGTAGATGGACTTTCTTAGTCAAATGTGATAAGAACATTTAAAAGAGTGGATTTTCTAAAACTCGCTTCTTTAGTATTTGAAGTAAGCTTTTTGAAAGATTAGACAATCCTTGTTTTCAACACATAGAGCACTAAACCTGAAATCTGCAGTTTAACTAACGTTAACAAAGTTAAATGATCGATATATGTATATCGATAATATAGAAATGGTTTGAGTTATCGCAAAACTAGATTAGCTCGTAATGCGTATGGAATACATAATTACACACTTTTACACCTTAACTTTTGTGGTTTTTGAAATCTCTACGGTCTTATCCTTTCAGTTCAGTGCTAAAATAAAGTTCACTTTTGCAGTACAGTGTTTGTTCTTTATCAATAATCAAGCAGCGAACAAAATGTCAATTTTTTTCGCACTGCAAATTAGTACGATTGTGAGTCCAGTTGCGAAATGACTGCGATCCAAAGAAGTGAAATTAAAATTAATCCCAATGACGTAAGCGATTATAAGAAATACTATGTATTTGATGGAATTTAATAAAAACTGATACACCACACAGAAACTTGGAGAGGGATCTTTTGGAGCGGTATACAAAGGCAAATACCAAGGCGAAGATGTTGCCATCAAAATAATCAACTATAATATCGAGCACGAGCATATACAACGCGAACCCTTCTACATGGCTATGGTCAGTGGCCATGCCAACTTCGTTAAATTACACGCAGTAGTGATGGAGAAAACCGAAACTCTTTTGGTTATGGAGTACATAGACGGTGGAAGTTTATTTCGCTTTCTACACAATACAAAAGAAGAATTAACGTACTCGCAAGCCATTAATTTGTTGTGTCAAGCAGCTGAGGTATGTTGTCTATATATGTATATGTATACATATATATAGACATGATTCATATTCCATTTGTAGGCATTGGCTTATCTCCATGCAATATCAGAGCGACCTGTTATTCATCGTGATGTAAAGAGCCTGAATATGTTGGTGGACGCCGAGCGAAAAAGCTTAAAAATTTGCGATTTTGGTTTTGTAAGGCAGTCGGGAACTGAAATGACTGAGAAACGAGGTACTCCCGTTTATATGGCGCCTGAGGTAGATAGACATACATATCTATGTTAACTTAACACTCATTTGATTTCATTCAGGTTTTCAAGGGCAAAATGTACACTTCTAAATGTGATGTGTATAGCATGGGCATTACGATTTGGGAAGTTCTGGCACGTAAGATTCCTTACTACAATTTAAAAAAAGAGCTTCAAATTAAATATATTATAGAAATTGATAAAGGTAATTCAATGTTATTTATATACACCAAATATTTTTATATACATATGTATGCATATATTCTGAGCATTTGTATGGTTTATGCAGGTCTACGGCCCTCTCTGGATGATCTTAAATTTGATTGTCCGGATCAATTGAAAACTTTCATTCAAAGATGCTGGGATAAAGACCCTAACGTTCGTCCCACCATGCAGCAAGTTGTGCATGAATTGCGAAAGCATAAGAATGTTTAAAATCATGAATCATTCGATAATTATTATAATAGCCGAATTATCTAATCTGAATTTATTCCTTGATTATTATCATTGTTTAAATATTTTGGTTTTTGTTATAAAATTAATTTCTATTAAAAAGTTTACTCTACTTTAAAGACCCAGATGCTTGTTTATATTATGTATATATTCCTGGAAACCCTCTTCTTATAAAGTGGAAATACTACTTTTTATTTGAAGGGTTAACGACTTGGTTTGGTAGACAAGATAATATCGTTTGTTCGAGGTTATTTTCTGAATATCTTTATCAATCATTTAATAATAATTGTTGCCTATTAGCCATAGGTCTTACATAATATGAGAGTGCAGACTGTGCCCACAATCATATAGAGGGCTCCACCAATTTTGCCAGATGAATTTCTGTTGCAATTGTTGCCAGAGCAAACGATACACCTCGTCCTGTTCCAGTCGCTGACCTCGGGCTTCAGCTGCAGCGCACAGACGTCGAGATCGGGGTGAACACAGGCAAAGAGATGATAGTCCACAGAAGTGTCTAGCACTCGATATATTTATAATGGGGTAATACTTGCAACGAGTAAGCTTACTCACTTTTCGTATAGACATACTTCAGAGCGAGGCAGTTGAAGCGACTGCTGTTTAGCTCAAGCACATTCTGATGATATGTGGCCAAATACTGGCTCGTCACATTTGCAGCATAATTGGTGCACTGGACTACCTTTGTATACCTGCAGCTGGCTGGACTAACGCAGTTGCGACAGACTAAGCAGTTTACTGCAATCGGGAAGTTCTTGGGTTTTTGATATTGAAATGAAATCTCTTCCAGTGCAACTCACCCAACTGCACAGAAATCGAACAGATTAGGAAACTCATCCAAAATATATTCTTCATTCTGAATGTCTAACAACTTTCCTTGTCGAAGCTGCGTTTACAACTGATTTGCGTTAGCCCAGAAATAAGTGCTTTTATATAAGCAGCTCTCGACACAAACAGCTGCCATGCCTAACAGTAGAGTTTTAAGTCAATCTTAAAAGAGGTGACTCACTCGCAGTCAATTGCAACAATTAGTCAGACATTTTCGAGCTTTTAAATCAGACTTTGTAAATCCTCTTACTATACGTATGTTAACTATACAAAGACTCATCCATATTAAAAGCTATGAAAAGGACAACTATTTCACAAGTAGTTTATTGTGCTTCAGGGAAAATATGTGAACCTCATGCCAAATTTGTAGATCAGTTGTTATTAAGTCTGAGCAAAGAAGAATATAAAAAAAAAATAATCTAGAAAATTTAAGATTCCAGAAAATTTTAGAAACAGTGGCAGCTGTGGCTAACTCCACACAGAGATCCTTATCGGGATCGCCATCCTGTTGAGCCAGTCTAGCCATAACAGACTTAGTAGATACCGTCCGTTAGCGTAAACCCCAAAAGCTAGAGATTTTGAATATTTCAATTTCATCACTAGTATAGCATAAGCAGTACAAATTTATGGTTTGCTGTAACGAGTTATTCTATTTCATTATTATCGATAACCTAGTTTTAATTTAATTTTTGTTAGGTAATTTTAATACCGTGAGAACTAGAAATGTTAAATACTGTGTAGATCTTTAAAATATAATATTTAGGGTTCTGAATACATTCATCTGATTGGCGGATCAGCTGTCATAGCAGGGGTATATCGGAAGATATTATTATTATTGGATTTCCTTCTGTTTGGATAGCCCTGTATATATACGATATCAAAATACTACTGCCAATCGTTCGATACATTGCCTACAGATCAAATGAGTATTTTAGGAAGAAATTCAATGGTCTATGAAAAATTAAGTCTTAAATCGAGAATTTCACATTTAAATCGATAGTAATTTGGCCACCCGCGGACTCACGGCTAATGTGAGTATTGTGTGGATATTCAAGTCTGAGATGCCCACCGTATTGCAGCAATTCCAATTGCAATTGTTACATGCACGAACTGGCCGTAGGGTCACAGGCATCGATATTTTCATGAAGGCAGCCCAAAAATTCATGTGTTGTGATCTCGCCTACAAACTGAAGCATTAATGAGTACCCTATTAGAAGTTGTTCACCAATTGGACGACTTACTTTCTGGTGTATAGTAGGGCATGTTCAAGCACTTGTAACGACCGTTGCCATCTATTCGAGGCACATCGATATGAAAACTACTTAGCCAATTGGTGGTCGCATCAGCCATGGCAGCCGTGCAGCGCTGAGAGCTGGGCTGACGACACGAGCAGGGTGTATCGCAGATATAGCAATATAATCCACTAGCTAAATAGGTATGCAAAATCTTTGCTCAATCAAATTCAACAAATCTTTACCCTGTTCTAGACTCACAATGGCTGCAATGACTAGAGTAATCAACCACATCTTCCATATGATTTACTCAGACAACTGTGCTATTTATCTGACCAAGAGACATATTATATGTGATTTAAAATGCATTTAATGCGTTTAATTGTAAATATAGCGAAATTAATTATGGGCATAAATATCAGGTTATAATACGATAATTATGATTTAGAGTTAATACAAAATTACATATTACAGCTACGAATATGATGTCCAATATATCAAACCAATATATCGAAAATGTCATCTATCTTTATCAAGTTAAAAAACTCTAGTCAACACTGCTCGACTACGAAATCCCCTAAACTCTTTGAGGAACTGATATTTCAATCAATTTTCGCATCTAGGGTTTTGCGTACAAGCACACCAATAGACAGATAGACGATGCTAAATTAAAACAAAATATGTATATATATACTTTTGATTTCCAATTTTCAATGGGTTCGGTGTATATAAAATGGGAGATTGTTTGGGATTAAGGGCACCCATAATAGCTTAATTTTTATTTAAAAAAACAAATCAGATTCCTTATATGAATATTTTGGCTAGGATCAGAAGCCAAGCTGATGATATAATGGTAAAGCTGCTCTTGCTTAGAGTTCCCGCCGGATTGCGATGATTGCAATTGTCGTAACCACAGAAGTAACAGGACTTATCCCAGTCATAGCTGTTATTCTCGTTCCTAAATAAATAACAAACTGATATAGAACTAAAGTAACAACCCAGAATCTCTTGGGTTATGACGTTGTCTGCGGAAAGAAATGCGGATATTAAATATAATCAAGCACTACAGAAATAGTTCTTCATATTGGCTAATTACTTTGGGGGTAGTAATATGTTAGATTCAGGCACTCGAAGGAATTGCTCACGGTTTTTGGAACATTGCTGTGAAGCCTTCTCAGCCAATCGCTGGTCGTGTTGGCAGTTTGTACGTTGCAGTACTGTGAGGTGGGGGAGCGACAGGAGCTCGGCGAATCGCAGGTGTAGCAATACAGACCGTTAACTGCAGATGTGATATGGATTAGAATTGCTGAAGCACACACAGTTCATTTCCAGCTTTTCTCACCCGTCTGTAGACCTAAAAAAGCCGCAAGCACTAGAGCACAAATTAACTTCTTCCACATTTCACTTCCAACTGCTAACTAATCATCAACTCGACTGTTTTAACACTAAATACCTAGATATTTACATTGCTTTATTCGACCGATAAGATAAAAAAGCAAATCAGTTTTTTTTTATGGGCTGGGCTTGGTTGTGTCAAGCAAAGGGGATGTGCACCTTATCAATATTACCTATACGATAGAGCACTGCTTCGTGGTAATTAACACGCTATTTATCGTAAATAGTTTGTATAATAGTTGTTGTATTTCTGTTTATCTATAATAGAGGTCAGCAATAATTCATTTGTATGCTTTTCAATATCGTTGAAAAGTTGTACAGGTTTGTATAAGTAACCCTATGAACGAAGTTGCGCATGGCAACAATATTATAACATCTTTGTACAACCATATTGCCTCATCTACAATCCACAATTAGACTGTGTAAAGTTATGATCAATATACATGATGAACTAGTATGGGGATTTGAGAAATAAGCTTTTGCTCTTCCTATGCGCTATGGTAGACCGTATCAATGGAATACCTACTTCAAAGATATTTCCTTCTATGTGAGAATTTGAGATAAAAGTAATGAATATACAGATTATGTATATTTCCTTATATTTACTTATATTATATTTACAAGATTTCGGTACAGCTTTTAGAATGCTAATTTGGCGATGATCAGCGCCATAGTGCGACTATAATGGTATAGAAGCTCTTGCTGAAAATACCGGCTGGATTACGATTGCATTTGTCTTTGTTGCAGCTCTGGCAACCTTTCTTCCAGGTATCGCTCTTAGATGCGTTTAATGGTAAAATATAAATAGGAAGGTCGGTATGATAACAGCCCAGATATTCATGGATCTCAGAGTTGTCTGCGAATGCCAAATAGAAGAGATAAATGAAAAACTCACACATATCTGACATTAACTGAGAACTGTTTTCAAAATAATATGTGAGGTACATGCTAGGGTTGTGAAAATATATCGAAATATCAATAGGATGCTTACACTGTGCGGAAAAGAAGAGCGTGAGACGTACAGCAGCTTGCCGCAATCTTCTAAGGAAAGCAATCCAATAATTTTTTGGATTTCTCATAAGGCGTCTATGTCTGGAGTATCGAAGATCGCACTACGATGCCTATCCACCCCTGGTAGCTCAGTGCCCAGAGCGACGTGCTTCGGCAATAAAATGTGTTGTCAACGACTCACGGGGTCATATGACGGATTCTCATATCACAGAACGCGTTTTTTTGTTTTTTAATCTTTGAGTACCGAATACTAGAGATAGGCGGTCTTTATCCTTTGAATACAAAATACTTATTCTTATTATTCTTGTGTTTTGGGACGGATTATAAATTTATTGTGGAAAAAAAGTTTTAAAAAAAAATCGGAATATTTTGATATATCGATTTTTTGAAAATTGCATATCAAATATTATATTGATATTTTTTGAAAACTTAAAATATCATCGATACGACTACTTTCTACGACGGATACAAATTTGTGAATGGTGTTCAACCAGCCGCTGGTCTCATTGGCTGTTTTATCGGAGCAGACCTGGGTGCTGGGATTGAGACAGTTACCAGGTGAAGTACAGCTATAGGAAGTCAGACCGCTCACTGAAAGAGCGTATATTGTGAATGCGAATTATTCGATGGAATTTGTTCTAAGTTACTACGAATCTGTACACTTGCGGTCGCTAGCATTGGGCTAAAAATTAACTTATTCTATAACTTGTTTAGTAAAACGTCCAACTAGTAATAGGTCTGAATCACGAGTGAATCATTTCAACTGATATGTGTTTACTATACTGCACCCGCAGGTAATAAAGATTAGATTAAGTTATTGTACAGATTGTACACACTCTATCGCTCTCTTTTATCGCATATATTATTAACATCAAATCGAAAATGTTACATACAATACTGTACGGACGTACACGACAAATTGTAAAATATATATTATTGATTTCAATAAAAAAAAAGATAAAAAATTATTGCAAAACTTAAAAAATCGAACACTTTTATAATTCGTAATTCTTATCAAATTTATAGTACAAATAGAATATGCAAATGCGATTTACCAGCAAAACATCGAAACTAGAGAAAAACAAGATATATAAAACTTGAACGATTGCAAATTGCAAACACGTCTTAATGTCTAAAACCCAATACCAAGCAAGTATTGGCCATAACAAATAAACAAAAGTAGAAGGACAACCACGATAGAAAAAATACCTAAACTAGGAACGAGGGGCAATGTTTCAAAAATTGAAAAGCATATATCAGCTGCCTGGACATGTCACGCATAACTAAATACAAAAGACAGAAAGAGCCACAGAAACAGATGCAGGATATGAAGGCAAAAAATACAAGAAGCATAAGCTTCTGCCAAGGATACGTTGAGGATATTAAATGACAGGACAAATGGCAAGCTGAGTAGCTGAGCAGGTTTCTCGAAGGTAAACGAAATGCGCAAATCCTGTTCACAATACCAGGAGACAACAAACAACAAATAGCTGTGGGTTAGATTTATAAACATATATATATATATATATACATATAAATGCATATATATGTATGCGTGTATATATGTATGTGCTACAATAGGTAAACAAGAGAATTACAATATGCTTTTTTAAAAATTAGAAAAACAACGTGCAATAGTCAAGGCAAATGGTGAGGCATGCCACTCGCCTCACAGGACAATAATATTGTGATAGAGGCGGTGGCAGGGGCAGGGACAGGTGCAGGGACAGCAGCCCGAAAGATAAACACAAGCCACACAGACATCGAAGGGTCGTGGCAGTGTTGTTCGGCTTTCGGGTCGGGGCTGTGCGAGGTGCGCTTCACAATTGTGGCAAGAGACGCTGGGGCGCCTTTTCGGCTTGCGGCTGACAGTTGAGTTGCTTTTCATTTTTTTTTTCGGTGGGCGTGGCCGCGACACGTTGCAACACAAAACAGAGTGCTATGAGAGGCTTTTCTTATTGTGCTGCGCAGCGAGACAACTGGATGGCTTGTGCATTGCATTAATGTTCCGGTCACGTATCCTTTTTAATCCTGACAAGAATATTATTTCCATAAAAAATGGCACGCAGCTAGCTGCGCGCGCTGCCACAACGAAATCGTTGCAGAGCGTCAAGCATACGCCACGTATGCCGCAACCGAATCATAGACACGACAGCAACGGCAGCAAGCAGCAGGCAGCAGGCACCCAACAACGACTCATGTATCTAATTTTATTATACAGACACCCACATCTATAGAAATACATACATACACACACACACACACATGTGAAGCAAGTTCAAGCATTAACATAACGGTCCACGGATAGCTTTAAACATCGCGCGTAACTTATGCGACTGTCAACACTGCGTATGCGTATTGTGCGACGGCTTAAAGGCTGAAGTTTTATGTTGTTGTTGGCATTTATATTTATATAAATTTATTAAAAAGTTATATACACTTCTATGCTCTGTTTGCTTAAGAGTAGGACGCACTTTGCACTAGCATTCCTTTAAAGATTGATTAATAAAGAATAGTAGAATAGACAATAGTAGAATAGCCAATAGGAACAAGGTTGCGCCTTGGTTTAGCTCGACCTGGAGTGGTATTTAAACCGATTATCGATTTCAAGCCAGCCAATTAACAGAACTCTATATGTATGAATTATAGTTAGCTATGCTGAACGGCTCACCCCCTTTTCTTTCAAATTCCTATTTAATTTGAAAATTCCGTTTCTTAAAATCACTTTATCCAAAGTCCCCTACGGCATATAATTAGTGCAGTTTTTCTTGTTCCGTATGTTGAACATGCTCTCTCGCGATCCACTTGAGGATTGTAGAGAATGCTCTACCGATGGCATAGAAACATAGAAGCATTTGGGTTCGTTGACGTTGGGATTCCATCAGTCTGTTCGTGTGTTCGTAAAGCATTTCAACGATATTGAATTTGTTATCTGTCTGTCTGTTAATTTTACCTATCAATTTGATTTACTTGATCTTGTCATTTCTCATTGTAATTGCACCAACGCCAACACCAATTTTTAGTGACATTTTATAAACACAATTTCAAAATGAGAAATCAGCTTAAAATGGTATCCATTATATGATTAAAGAGCCAGAATCCCCGAAAAATGTTTCCCAAAATGCTTATCGAATATTACGGAAAAGATTGTACGGGCTTTAATTTGTATTTAAAAAATCATATTCCTTATACGAATATTTTGGCTAGGATCAGGAGCAAAGCCGAAGACACAATGGTAAAGCTGCTCTTGCTAAGAGTTCCCGCCGGATTGCGATTACAATTGTCATAGTTACACGTGTTACAGTACTTAGCCCAGTCATAGCTGTTGGTCACATTCAGACTTAGATAACAAACTGGTATAGAGCTATAGTAGCAACCCAGAATCTCTTGGGTTTTCACGTTGTCTGCGAAAATAAATGCGGATATTAAATATAATCAAGTACTACAGAAATAATTCTTCATATTGGCTAATTACTTTGGGAGTAGTAATATGTTAGATTCAGGCACTTGAACGAATTTTCCACGATGCTTGGAACGTTGCTGTGAATCCTTCTCAGCCAGCCGCTGGTCGTGTTGGCAGTTTGTACGTTGCAGTACTGTGAGGTGGGGGAGCGACAGGAGCTCGGCGAATCGCAGGTGTAGCAATACAGACCGTTAACTGCAGATGTGATATGGATTAGAATTGCTGAAGCACACACAGTTCATTTCCAGCTTTTCTCACCCGTCTGCAGGCCCAAAAAGGCCGCAAGAACTAGAGCACAAATTAACTTCTTCCACATTTCACTTCCAACTGCTAACTAATCACCAACTCAACTGTTTTAACACTAAATACCTAGATATTTACATTGCTTTACTCGACCGATAAGATAAGAAAGCTAATCTATTTTGTTTATGTGTTTGCATTGTTGACTCAGCCTAAAAGGGGATGTCCATTTTTTCAGCATATTCGACTTATATATAAGACTATTATGTCATAGTAATTAATAGAATTTTTCATTTGTAGCACAATCAATATACCCAGCATTTCGTTTCATTTCTTTTAGTTCAGTCCTATTGTGCAGTTTGATCCAAAATGGCTGCGAATAAATATTATGAATTCGATTATAATGGAACTCGATGTCAAATACTTCTGATCCAAATAAATGAAATGAGTACGATGCAGTAAGCTGTCATAATAGATATAATGTATTTAATGAAACTGAAAAAAAAAAAAAAAAAAAAAAAAAAAACAATCCACTATATAGAAACTTGGAGAGGGATCTTTTGGAGAGGTCTTCAAAGGCAAATATGCTGGCAGAGATATGGCCATCAAGGAAATTGCGATCGACCCCAAGACATGGACAGACAATAAAAATGTGCACCGCGAACTCTTCTACTTGGAAAAGGTTAATGGCCACGCCCTCATCGTACAATTATATGGACTTATAATGGAGGAAACAGCAATTCATTTGGTTATGGAATACGTTGCAGGAGGAAGCCTATTTCACTTTCTACACAACACAAGAGACGAATTAACGTACTCGCAAGCCATTACATTGTTGCGGCAAGCGGCTGAGGTATGTTGTCTAAATATGTATGTATGAATACATATACATACAGATATATTCATGATTCATTTTATTCAATACATGGAAAATGTGGAAAGTATGCATAATTCTTGACCAGGGCGACGAGCTGAGTCGCTTTAGGCCTGTTCGCCTGTCCGTCCGCCCGTCGGATTTCGGAACTTGTGTGTGTGTGTGTGTGGCTGTGTGTGTGCATGTGCTGTTTCTTGTGTTCACATATAAGTACATATATTATTATATATTATTATATTATAGGCGCTTGCTTATCTTCACTCATTTGAAATTATTCATCGTGATGTAAAGAGTCAGAATATGTTGCTGGACGCCGAACGCAGAAACTTAAAAATTTGCGACTTCGGTTTTGTAAGGGAGTTGGAAAAGGACATGACTAAAGGAAAAGGCACTCCGCTATATATGGCACCCGAGGTGCATATATATATATATATATATATATATATATATATAGTCAAGCTTATTAGTTCAACTCATTTGATTTCATGCAGCTTGCCACGGTTGGCAGTTACTCTTCTAAATGCGACGTGTACAGCATGGGCATTACGATTTGGGAAGTTCTGGCGCGTGAGATTCCTTATGAATCGCCGAAGGTAATTCAATCTTATTTATATACACCATATATTTCTATATATTGAGCATTTGTATGGTTTATGCAGGTCTACGGCCCTCTCTGGATGATCTTAAATTTGATTGTCCGGATCAATTGAAAATTTTCATTCAAAGCTGCTGGGATAAAAACGCGGATGTTTGTCCCACCATGCAGCAGGTCGTGGCAGAATTGCAAAAGTATTTGTAGACTCGATATACGTTCACCAGCTCAGCAGCAATGCATACGTCTTAACTCTATCTATGCTCCTCTCTAACATTTCAAGGATACGGCACCGCTGATATATGCGTATATGATTTCTTTTTATATGCTGCTCACCAATTTTAGCTAAATATATAAATATACATAAATATTTGCTAGTTTTCGGGGTCAATTAAAATAATTTTAAGTGCTCGCATGTCCAATCGATCAATGTGCATAGCAAATGGGGAACACATTCACTAGACAACAGCTGCTGCTACAGCTCAAGCAAGTGGCCAACTGGCCAATTGGCCAACTGACCAACAGGCCAATAGGCCAACCAACCATTCATCAGTCTCTGTACTTTGAGACACATTGGCGAACAAGTTTCAACTATCGTAATTGGCCCGGAAAAAGCTTAAAGCCAAATATTTACACACACAGCACGCAGCCAAACTGAGGAAAGAGTTTTCCAGATCAATAATTGAAAGCAAAATTTCTACGACAGATCCACTAAAGCACCAATATAACCACACCTAATTATTGGCTAAGATAAAAAGAATAGAAGTGCAAAAGACATAAAAAAAAATATGTTTGTGGCATATGCCGAATGAATAAATGAAAATAGGCCATCATCCGTAGAAAGCTGGCTTGACTGCTTCAAGTTAAAAAAAAAAAAAAACAAGCCCATATTAATATTTCGTACACCTTAATATATCTACAACTAATTATCCTACTCCTTGTGTCTCATCTAACCGTACATTTGCAGGCATTCTCGAAAGTCCTGAGTCCTGACAAATTGTAATTTCCGTCAAAGTTGGCCGAACTTCCTTAATCCTAGTTATTCTTCCATGGGAAAAAATTTCCTTCCCATTATAACAAATTCAATCCTTAATATTGATATAAAAAGGTCTTTCTTTCTCTCTCTCTCTCTCTCTCTCTCTCCCTCCCTCCCTCTTTCTCTCTCTCTTTTTCTTATAAACACAAGTATGTATATACCGAAATTCATATTCGCGGTAATTGTCCTGCCATTTTCCAATTTTTCTCTTCTCCGTTCAGTTTTCTATCCCCCTCACAATAGTAGTAATTGTTGATTAAATGGATGCTAGTCTGCCGGTACTCAGTTTGCACTTCCATTTTTCGTTGTCGGTTTCCATTACCAATTCAGGCGTTCGCCTGTCTGGTGACTCTATTGTCAAAGCATTTAGCGATGCGGTGTTCGATACGAACACCGAACACTGAGCAGAGTGTTAAAGAGGTTCCTATGTGCGTGTGTGTCGGGGGGCATGTCCAATGACTTGGCTCATTGCAATTTTGCACGTGAACTTGTTAAGAGCAAAAACCACGTCATGAAATGCAAATCGAACACTTATCGTCAGAGTCCAAAAAAGAAACAATGAAACAAGAAACAATGAAACACACTCTTCGTAAGCCAAGTATAAGATATTCGAGTTACCTAGTACCTAGCAAATAGACAGACGAACGCGTCTAGATCAACACGTCATTCTCATCATATTATATCCTGATTTCTAATTTTCAATGGGTTCACAACAGAATACAAAATATATAAGCTACAAACAATAAAACATAAAATGCTATTTCATTTAATTTTATATATTCCTGCTTACTATATTAATTTTTATACTTTTACTCATCTTGTTTAACAAGTAAAATCATGAAAACTGCAAAGCCTAAAGACATTTCAGAACAATACTTTTTTAAATTACGCGCCCTGCTGCGAGTGCCATAGCAACGAGCTTGTTACATGCTCTTAATAGTACTGCCCATTTGAAAGGCCACCAATGCTGCCCATTAGTATTTATCGATTGTTGAACGTTTCTTTTTTTTTTTTTTTTTATTATTTCGCGCTAACCAGCAAATTTGTAATTAATTGATAGGTTTAATTGAATTTATTGGAAACAAGCTATATGCCACTTATCGAGACAATCCAATTCCTGACTGCCGACACTTTGGAGTAAACACCAGGATATTTGGGCTTCGCACAGCCAAATCCCCAGGAGACAACGCCCCATAATTTGCCATTGACGGCCAGCGGCCCGCCGGAGTCCCCTTGACAGGCATCCTTGCCACCTTCGGTGAGACCCGCGCATAGCATACGGTCCGTAATGTTGCCAAAATGCTCATATGCTAAAGTGCATTGGGTCTGATTCACCGTGGGCACGGTGACAGCTCGCAGCACATCTGACGATTCCTCGGCATTTTGAGTATTGCCCCAGCCGGTGATTGTAACCAATGTGCCATCTGGAAGATCCTCATTCTGTTCAGGCAGCTGGGCAAATGCCTGGGTGACGTCTGTGCTATTATAGGGCGCCAGCTCTAGCAGGGCATAGTCATAGTCGATTGTTCGTGAATTGTAGTCGGGATGACGGTGAATACGCCGTATGTTGACGATCAGGCCATCCTTCTCTTTGCGCGTGGCACCGACGCGCACCTTCAAGGACTCCACACTAGCGCTCTCCACACAATGGGCGGCGGTCAGTGCCCAGCCGACGCCAATCAATGAGCCGCCGCACATGTGAAAACTACGCTGCAGTGAAATTTGATACGGATAATCCTTAATAGACACCTGAACGCCACCTACAATGCGTCCATCTTGTCGCAGCGTGGGCACAGCCGGCACAGTCAGGCCGCCAACGCAGGTGAACAGTAGCAGCGGCAGGAGCAGCGTATTCCAACTTAACGACATGTTCGATTCCGAGTGGATAAGCGTTATGTTAGCTCAGCGGTTATTAGGAATGCTTATATAGACGCCGCCCAATGGGTTATCAATCTATCAAGCTCATTTTCCAGGGTCAATCATCGTAGCCGCGTAGCGAAGGTATCCACTTGGCCTAGTTAATCCGTCGCCGATACTCATAAAATTTTATGGCCCATAGACGATGATATCGACGTCATCGAGAATGTTATCTAAGCCCAATTCTATTGTTTGAAAAAGACAATTCAGGGTCTTGTTTTTCCCTCAAAATTATGCCAAATATATATAAATTGGCAACAATATAAACATATTTTACTCTATATACGTATATATATAGCAACAACTCACACATATATAGATATAGTATTCCACAATATTATCATGTATCTTACTTAAGAAATCATGTTCTTTTTAAAACATAAATAGAAGTCTGTTTATCGGATATAATATAGAATATGTACAGTTTATACAAATATATTTGATATGGAGACAAACTCTATTACTAAAGTACCAGTCAATATAATCAGGATATAATCAACAACAAGGGCTTATAGGCTGTACTCTATAGTACGATATAGAATACGTTAAATTTACATAAATACCTTTTGAGATATTGCAAAATTATAACGGTGATTCATCAGATTGTTCAGCTATCTCAACTTCTGGTTTCCATTTCCGCTAGTTCCTCTAAAATTACATATATCCAGATTGTAATGCACTTCCTTATAGAAAGATTACGAAGTGCATGCGTTAAATCCTCTTTTATCTCTTTGTTACAGATTTTCCACTAAGACGCGTTGATTTGTGTGGGATCAATGGGAATAACCGCCAAACATTACAAAATATCAGGGAAAAAGCGAGCGCCGTATATGTAGAGAATACTCCTACTCTCCTGCGATTTATACAATTCACGCTGCAATGGCTTTCGCTTACAGCTTTAGCCAGGTCAAGAACTTGTTGTTGGACGGCATATCGGTGACTCGTTCCAGCCGCAAGCCATTCAAATCGGCCAACTGCTTCAGATCCCTGATATCCCGTATGCCCCACTCACTATTGCGACTCCTCAAGCTCGCATCGAAGTCGACATTGCTTTGGGGTGTCAATAGGCCGTCCTGGGCATAGGGTCCATAGGTGAAGAGTTTGCCGCCCGGTTTCAGCAGCTGGCCAGCAGCACGAAATAGTCCCTCCGAACAGTTCCATGGCGTAATGTGCATCATATTGCAGTTCAACATATAGTCATAGCTGGCGGGCTTTAGCTGCGCCCTCGTCCCTTCCTCCCATTGCTGCAGCTCCTGCGAAATGTCCACAAAGAGTGGTGGGCAGATATTACCAGTTGCACAGTCGGCGGCATATGCCTTAATCGAACTGAAATCTCTGCGCTCATATTCCGTTGTTTGAAAACTGATGTTCGGTAGGAGGGGGGCCAAAAAGCCGGCATGCTGACCCGAACCGGACGCGATCTCCAGTAATCGTAGATTCGGTGTACTCTTATCAACCTGCTGCAGCAAGGCCTCCGATATGGGTTGAGAATTTCGATCTGCCGAAGGATGTGTGCGTTTTATAGCGCTGCGAAGCGTCGTCACATGAAACAAACATCGAAAGTGTTTTGTGAGACTGTGTGCGATGCTTACTGCATAAATAAGTTCTTAGTTTCATTGTAATTCAAGCGAATATTTTACCTCATATTTGGAATTGATTATTAGCAATTTATTCCCAAATTCACTTAAGTATTTGCTCTTAAATTGCTTTATTGTACTTTCTTGGCGCTGCTCGGCTAAGAACTTATCGATATACCAGGGCTGCAGTATCTCGTGAGCCGATACAATACAGTGAGCCAATCATGTGCCTATATGGATTATCACAAGTTACTTATAGCTTATAAATTCATTTTCAGAAATAAATATTGTAACAGTAAACAAATTTAATAATATTAATATAATTTTATAAACAAAATATATTTAGTATTTTATTCATACTTGCTTTGCCATTATATATCGGAAGCATACCGATATATGCAAAATTTCTGTGGCAGTTCCGTTTTATCGCCTTGCCGCCACATTCGGTAGTGAGACAAAATTTTGTCAATTTTAATTGGGTATTGTTTTTGTTGAATCAATTGTTGCAACTAAGAAAGCTGCACAATGTCTGATAACGATGATGATTTCATGTGCGACGACGATGAGGACTACGGCCTGGTAAGAATTGCAACATTTCACAGTATTCGAATTTGTATCTACGGCATACCTCAACACCCGGCGTCGTCTGCATGGTTTTCTCTGTGTGATTTCAATTTTAGGAATACTCGGAGGATAGCAACTCAGAACCGGACGTAGATCTAGAGAATCAATACTACAATAGCAAGGCACTCAAGGAGATGGAGCCCACAGCGGCGCTAGCCAGTTTCCAAAAGGTGCTCGATCTGGAGAACGGCGAGAAGGGCGAATGGGGCTTCAAGGCGCTGAAGCAAATGATTAAAATCAACTTTAGTCTGGTGAGCCTTAAGTGGGCTGCAAAATAGAATATTTATGAACTATGACCCCTTCACCCCCTATCTGTAGAGCAACTACAAGGAAATGATGGTGCGCTACAAGCAGCTGCTCACCTACATCAAAAGCGCCGTCACACGCAATCACTCCGAGAAGAGCATCAATTCCATACTGGATTACATATCGACGTCCAAGAATGTAAGTAAGAAAGGTGTGAGACATGATAAACCTGCCCCTAACTGGTTTAACATCGTATATGTACTTTCATATGTATATGAATTATTCATATTCAAAGTAGTTTTCTCTGTTATTCCTTGTCAACTAACTTGCATTGACTTTGAAGAAGAAAATCTATTGCTGTATTTTATACATTATCTTAATCATAATAAGCTGCAGCAGCTGTTTGGCTGCTTCAGCATAAACAACTTTGCAAAGATAATATTACCTTTTATAGAGGATCAAGTTTTTGTTTGTACGCAAATAGCGATACAGGTCTTTACAGATAGATATATATATATATATATATAGACATTATAAATAAGCAAAGTCATGTGTTTTTTATATATTTAGAACATTTTGTAATATGGAATATAGGCAAAATGTTTAATATGTATATAGAAATGAAATTATCTTAATATTAAGCTAATATTAATTGAATTATTTCAAAGAATTTAAAGATAATTAATTATTATATTTTCAGATGGAATTGCTGCAGAATTTCTATGAGACCACTTTGGATGCATTGCGCGATGCCAAGAACGATCGTCTGTGGTTCAAGACGAACACGAAACTGGGCAAGCTGTACTTTGATCGCAACGACTTCACCAAATTGCAAAAGATACTCAAGCAGTTGCATTCGAGCTGCCAGACAGACGATGGCGAGGATGATCTGAAGAAGGGCACCCAGCTGCTAGAAATTTATGCGTTGGAAATCCAAATGTATACGGTGCAGAAGAATAATAAGAAATTGAAAGCCCTCTATGAGCAATCGTTGCACATTAAATCGGCAATACCTCATCCACTGATAATGGGCGTAATACGTGAGTGCGGCGGCAAAATGCATTTGCGTGAAGGTGAATTCGAAAAGGCGCACACCGATTTCTTTGAGGCGTTCAAGAACTACGATGAGAGCGGATCGCCCAGACGCACAACCTGCCTGAAATACTTGGTGCTGGCCAATATGTGAGTGAGAGTGCGAATAAATTGAGAATAGTTATAATCAATTAATTGATCATATTGTCTCTGACAGGCTAATGAAGTCCGGCATTAATCCATTTGACTCGCAGGAGGCCAAACCGTATAAAAACGATCCCGAAATATTGGCCATGACAAATTTGGTTAACTCATACCAAAACAATGACATCAACGAGTTCGAGACTATATTGCGCCAGCATCGCAGCAACATAATGGCCGATCAGTTTATACGCGAGCATATTGAGGATTTGCTGCGCAATATACGCACCCAGGTGCTCATTAAACTGATCCGACCCTATAAGAATATAGCCATACCGTTCATAGCCAATGCGCTAAACATTGAGCCGGCCGAAGTGGAGAGCCTGCTCGTTTCCTGCATACTGGATGAGTACGTTGATCACCGAACATACCGTTATTATTACTGTATACCTCAATTAAAATTATACTCCGCAGCACCATCAAAGGGCGGATCGATCAGGTAAACCAGGTGTTGCAGCTGGACAAGGTCAATAGCAGCGCTGCTCGATACAATGCACTGGAGAAATGGTCCAATCAAATTCAATCACTGCAATTCGCTGTAGTACAGAAAATGGCTTAGACATAAGGCAACGATTAAAATCTAATGGAAATTCTGAAAAATATCAAATCAAATATAGTCTTCTTACTAAAACATTTGCACAGACCATGAAATAACGCTTCTATATATAAATGAAGTATATCAATGTTAAGGGCTTTCAAGATAAAGCTGCGATAAGCACAGGTTGTTCTATCATAAATATGTATGGCCGATAAGCAATTGTATATTTCCATGACTCGAATGAAAAAAAAAAAATAACAAATATTCAAAGCGAAACTGATTTATAACGTTAAAGAAAATATGGAGCCGCCGGTTTAATTACTGGTTTTGGCGCTGTGGATTGTTATTATGGGAATTATTATTCCATTAATTTAGGGGATATATTCTGATCGAATTTTCAAAGAGAATCTTATCATAAATTAGTTTTCATTAGAAATGGAAAGAAACTAGGCATAGACAGATACTTTATTGGGCGAATCATTATACTCATTCACAATAGTAAAACGTGTATATTAAGTTCATACTTATTGCTGTCTGCATTTCCAACCGCCTGTTCGTTCGCATGAATCCAAATCTAATGAAGGTGGAGACTTTAAATCAATGCCCATTGCAGGCGCGGCAGACCAGGTAAAGCTATATAGATATATGTTGCACTGTTGAAGCTGGTTGATCTCTATTGCTTTGCAACAGATATGATATATTTATCAATTTGAGACCGGCCAACCAGAAAACATTGAAATGATTGTTTTACAGTTTTATATAAATATCAATACTTAAATATAAAGAACCACAACTAGAGTTCAAATTAGGCTGAAAAAAACAAAATAAAATTTTCGATTATTCTCGATAAAAAAGTTATCGGATGAGTTATCGAAAAGATATGATAAACTTGTACTGCGTATGGTACACACGAGTATGCATGCCAAATTTCAGTTTTCTAGCTCTTATAACGGACTCATACGGACGGACGGACAGACGGAAGGGCTACATCGACTCAGCTCGTCATCCTGATCAAGAATATATGTATATACTTTATGGGGTCTGCGATGACTCCTTCTGCTCGTTACATACTTTTTCACAAAACCATTATACCCTGATTTCTCATTATCAATGGGTTCAGAGTATAAAAATACAAATTAGATTTCAACTTTAATTAAGCAGCTTCAGCGCCTGATGTGGCCGTCTGCCGTACTTCAATGGCAGAAGTTTTGCTACAGCGCTCCAGCATCCACAATCTTAGTCTATAGATCCAGAAGATGACGACGCAAAAGAATAGCGCCAGCACAATGCAGCCACAAACGCTGCCAATGGCCAAGCCCGGCGTCTCCCAGTCCAGAATGAAATATATATAGCGATTACCAAAGCTGCAAATGCAATCGAATAAGAGAGGACCCAAAAGGGAAATCAAATAGCTCACAAGTCGGTGCCGCCGGCCCAGAAATAGATAAGCGAGAACACGCCATAGACGAGGCCCACCGCGAGCGGATAAACAAAGTGCATCAGGCGAGTGGGAAAGGCCACGACGAAACAATCGAAGAGCATGCAAATGGAATTGAACGCATGTGCCCACAGATTGTACAGTCCAACGGGACCGTCAGACGTGCCTAAAACGGGGTTGATTGATTAATAATAGATTGTTTAACAACACTATAAACGCTTGGGCTGCTCACTAGGATAGAGCGCTGTCCAGAAAACCAACGTTATCATCAGGGCCAAAACTGTTGTCGTAAAATGCGAGCACCAGTATATCCTAAGAGCCCAGCTGCCAGAGACTGAAATGAAGATATATTAAATATAAATCCAGCAAACCCAATAACAATAAGAATTATGACTCGGACTCTAATATACTATGAATGCTTCACATACGCTTAATACGACGATGTTAGAAGCAATTTGATGTACATTATATATGTATTATATTATTATATTTTACTTGAAATAGTAGGAATATTAAAAATAATATATTATTATTATATATTTTATAAACTACTTCACTTTGGAAGAGTTTAAATAGTTTTCCCTAAAACCAAAAGCCGACAGATGAATTATTATTTAATAAACACTTTGATTTTGATCCAACATATTTTAAACTAATTTTTGAAAATTAAAATTGTAATATATTATACCGCTGCGTTTTCGGAAGCCTATAATTCAATTCAATTATCTTTTTAATAATTATTCAAAAAATTATTATTTAAATTGTAAAATTTAAATTGGTTTGAAAATTAAAAACCTTTTCATACTTTTCATCAATTTAAATCATTTTCTAGCTGGAGAATTATAAAAAAAAAAAAAAAATGAGTAAGAAAATTGTACAAAATATTTTCTTACCAAAATAGCCGGGCTTTATAAAGTATATGGTGGCCAGAATGGCGCCATAGGCACAGGCATAGAAGCATAAGGAGAAACCCCAATCGGTTAGATAGATGAACCATGTGCCTTCATTGAATTGATCGACCAGACTGCTAATGACCCCAGCTGCAAAGAAGGCCGCCAGGAGCCAACGATAGATCAGCCAGATGAAAGAGCGTTCGCTGCGCTGCCATTGGGAGCGACAAAAGTCGGCGGGCTGATCGTGGTACAGTGAAAACTTGGCACACTGAAACTCATCCACCAGGGGCTGGCAGCAGCAGGTTTGCTGGCTGGTATCACGCATCACGCCCGCCGGATGGACTCGATGTCTGCGTAGCTGGACGAGAGCTGCTAAAGCCGACCAGAGCAAATGGCTGACGCGTCGGTAGAATGTCAACTGCCGCAGCCAGGGCCAGAGTCGAGCCAATAGGCCTGATAGTTTGACATTATTTCCGCAAATTGTTGTAGCCAAATGGCAATTCGAGTGTTAGCTTATCAGCGGTGATTCTTATCACCTGTTATGCCTGACTGGAAGGTACTTCCAGCCAATCTATGCATATATCGCTGATAGCTTCCAAAATAGCCGTTTAGCCGGTATTACTGATGTTGGCCAACTACTCGGACTGACTTGGCTAACAGTCAGTGTGCGGCACCAGGCCTGTATACCTTCCCACGCTGCTCAGTAAAACCCGACACGCGTTAAATGTGCTTTCAATTATTTAACAGCATTTTGTGAATTTTTGCAGATGATTCATTGGAGCAATAACAATATTATCAATAGTTTTCATTTATCATTATTTTTTTTTTTTTTTTTTCACAGAAATTATATGATAAGAAGACCCTATCACAGTCAAAAGTAATTCCCCACTTGAACTTCTCATCCTATAAATAGGCATTTCTACAAAATAGTAATTGATTATCGCATTTTGAGCATGTAACTCGTGTGCTGAACAATTGCCAATTCCGTTGAATTCGTCAAATGAAAAAAAAAAATAATAATAATAATAATAAATAAATAAATAATGATAAAAAATAGTAACCTTGAGTTTTAGATAAGATGACAACGCGGAACATGTTGTTAGTCAAACAAAACAAATTTATGATAATAATTTAGCAGTTCATTCATGACGAATATCTCAAAGCATTGCTATAATTATTTACCTTGATTAAAAACAAAAAAAAGGGACTGACTTATCAAAAAAATCATATTGTATTTACTTGCATAAGAATATTTAAATAATATATGTATGTAAAATTTTTAAAAGTATGTCTAGTTCAAAATATATAAATAATATATTATAATAATAGAAATGTTATGCACATAATACTACTACTAAGGGAGAAGGTCGAGCCTCTAAAATTGAATGTAGCTACGAATATAGACGTATGTTTATACTACAATTTATTTTTGTAATTGATTTAAAATTTAAATAGAAATATTTAAATCGAATTGTTATCTTCCTAGCTGTCTATCATAATTTGTAATAGATTTTTCGCACACGCAAATCAAAAATTGAAATTTAAACATTTCGCCTGGATCTGATTGCAACAGACATGCAATCAACAAATATCAAATACAGTTTTTATTTGCGAATAGCAAATGGAATGTGATTTTGGTACGGTTCGGGTTGGAAATTCAAATTAACAACTTTTAAATTATGCAATAGCGGGAAGTAGCAGATATCAGTGCTAGATACAATACGATAATTGAAGACACTTTCAATTTCTAAATCAAAATAGAACAATTTCTAAGTGTCTTCGGGTCAATAGCAAGGTCAGCAAAGAGGGGCGTATAAATGGAACAAATACAAGTGCAAATTTTTGTATGACACCTTATATATTGTATATATGTATGTACATATAGTTGATGTACAAGTTTGGAATTTTCAACACAAAGCAATTTGTAATCGATCCCATGTTTATTAAACTGACCCTCAACTGGTCAAATTACGTTTGCAAATTGAAATATCAGATCCAGTCAACAACAAATTTCTGGTGTAATAATTTGTATTCATTACTGTATAATGCAGACGAATGAAGAAATATTTACAAAATGTGTATACAAATAAAAATCATAAAAAATAATAATTTATTAGATATTCTACTAAGTGTTTTAATATTGAAACAAATGGAGAAAAATAATAAATGATTTATCTAAAAAATTTTGCAAAAAAAGTCTGACTTTTTTTTTTAAAACACTTTCCCACCCAATTGCTGATAAGCTGAATGTGGGTCAAACCTAAAAAAACAGAAATTGAAAAAAAAAAAACTTTGTAGTTAAAAGCATTTTTTTGGAATTTGCAACTCCCATAGTTTGCTTGCATTTGAGCACTCACATAATTGGGAGAGCTCAGAGCTTTAATTGGACGACCTCCAGGGCTTCAAGTTCAATAAAGTCAGCTCAGCAGCTGATGTGTGTTTTATATGGTATGATGACAAACGACGCTGCTGCTGTCAATAACACTGATATCATATCATTCGAAATGATTCCCACAGCATCATGTTTTTGGATGGAGCACTTAACAGATCGCCGACTATTTGACACTCACTTTATATATGTATATGTATATATGTTTTTGTTTTTGTTTTCTGTTATTGGTTTTGTGTGTGAATATTAACGATATGCCTTTAATTAAATTACTTAGTTTTATTTATTGCTATGCCCAATACTTTGTTCATAAAATGGATATGTTGACTATATAGAAAAAAAAAGATACTTCAGAAGTTTTATCCAACTGAAATTTAACATCTTAAATTTATTTTTTAAATTAAAAAAAAAAAGAAACTAAAAACAAATTAAAATTTTCAATAAATTAATCTAATATAAGAGAGTTTAAGCGATCGATCAAAACTTCCCAAGACTTTAAATGAGCATATAGGAAGAAAAATTTTAAACATTAAGACGGCAGTCGGGCATTACCGACTGCAGAAATGTCTATCACGACCCAAACTGTGCCAGATTCATTCTATGATTTACAACACTGCAATTTTCATATACTATTTTTTTTTATTTTTTTTATACAAATTAATGAAGGATGTTAACAAAAATTTAGTCGTTACCTTAAAATTGTAGAAAATACCGTTCCCCCAATGAGCGCAGATATATCCGCCATACGAGTATGCATTTCAAATTAAAAAATAGTTTCATAAAACAATATAATGTTCAAAAATTAAATTTATAAAAATAAACACCCAAAATTACGAAATAAATTTGTTTCAAATGTTGATAGTATAAAAACATATATATTAAATTAAATTAAAATAAATTTGTGCTAGCCATGTTAAATACAATTATTATTAAATAATAACAGTATTATTATATATTATCTCTGTAAAATATTTATGTGCTTAACTTTAGGCTCTACTCAAAGGGTATATAGCAGTGATCAGGCTTCAGTTCTTTTTACAAAATTCGTATTTTTTTTTTGTGATATTAATTTGGTCGATCGCATGGCGTACGGCTTCGTGTATATAAAAGAGTCGAAGCCTGCGCCAACTGCTTGGTCGTGTTATTTGCAGTGAGCGCGTTTCTAATCGTTCCGTCGGTAGCGGGCTCGGCACAGTCATCAGTTAGAGGGTCTCTCGAAGGGTAAAAGCATTCCACTGCTTTCAGTCGAGTCTGTCTCGTCGTGTGTTGTGCACGAGTGCGCGTTCCCACTGGAGTATTAGCGAACAGCCGAAAAGCGCGAATACATACATATACAAATACATATATATTTTACCGACTCCGTCCAAGTCATAGCCCAGCGAATGATTTTCAAGATCACACAGAGCGCAACAATAGCTGAATTAGGCTGAAAGTTTATTTCTGCACACAATTAGCAGAACAACGCCGGCAACTCGGTAGCCAACATCGTACATCGATTAGCGATCCTAATTAAATAAACAGAAAATGCAATTCCTCAAAAGGTTCCGGAAGGGCCTCAACAATGAATTACAAAAGCAAAATTTCGGCTTCGAATGCAGTCACGTGCATCTATTTTATAAGTCTCTGGTAAGTTTAATAGCTAAACGGTAGTGCTATGTGTCTCGCAAATTATCTGAAAGCCCTTTACACTCTGGGCAACTTTGTGTTTTAGTTTGTGCATGTAGCAAGTGCTATTAAAGCATTAAGTACAGCTTGACGTTTACAATCGTATGTAAGACCAGTACCAACAGACCGTCTAACGACTATTGAATACACTTGCTAAAGAAATAAAAATATATATATATATATATTGTTTGAGTTATTATTCAGAAAATATTTAAATTATTTTCTATTCTATTTTCTATTTATATTTAAAAAAAAAAAATGTTTTTATGATTTTAATTAATTTATATAAATATATTTTTTTTATTTATTTTTTTTGATTATACTTACAATTTACATCTATACACAACTATTTATGGTATATAAATTAGATAAAAACAATTATTTTCATTTAACAGATATTTATGTACAAATAATATGTTTATTTATGTCTATATATTTTAATTCATTTTTTTTATATATTTTATTATTGGCTTTTTTTAATTATTTATAAATTTAGTTTAGATTTATTTTCTAAAAATTTTTATTTTCCGCGAGTTTATTTATTTATTAACATTATTCAGTTTATTTCAATTAACTTAAGTTAAGAAAAAAGGTAAAAAGTTTCCCATAAGTTTAATAAATATTATGTTCACCCTAAAATCGTTCATTCTTAAATGTATTATTATATTATTTATAATTATATATTATATATATGTCTTCCATACCTAAAACTAAAAAAAAAAATAATAAAATTAAAAAAATAAAACAACTAAAACATTTTTTGAAATATAATTTATGAGCATCATTGACAAAGCTTTTTGTTGATTTACATAACTATACAATACCTTACAATACTGATCAATACCTTAAGCATGACAGAAAGTAATAACAAAAAATCATATAAATAAATAATTGGCGGATATACTGAAATAGTACTTGACGCTAACAATAACAGTAACAGTGCCCGCATTGTACATAAAAAGTAAATTCCGGAAATATCACACCATAATTTGTCACATTCATATGACTTATCGAAATTAGAGAATAGAAAAACTGTGTTTAGCACATTTCGTTTTAATTTAGACATGGCACGAGCAAATGTATACACATAGATACGTATAGAAATTATATACTGATATTGGGGTCGTCTAATGGCACACGATCTTCCCGAAGTTCAAAACAAATCAATTCTCATTGCGTAATCGACAAGTTATGTTATTTGGCTTTTTTTTTTTTTTTTTTTTTTGCACTTCAACCAAGCGAAAACGACAACAAACTTACTAACTAAATAAGCACGAGCCCGGTCAGTTAATACGTCATTAATTTGACAGCACGAGGCGAACAGACAGTGAGACAACACATAGTAGATAACAGTCAGTTAACAGCTGTCGGAATTTTAGGTCTAACCTGATACTGCCA